ACATGATATTCTTACTGTAAACACTGTTGGAAGACAAATAAAGAAACCAACAAGGAAAAGCAGAGTTGTGCCTGAACACAATTTTACCTCCTACACTGACCAGCTAAATTCATTTAGGGATTTTAAAACTGGAGGACACACATAACTATCAGGATAAATAACTAGCAAGAGTATAATTTTTGTTTTAAACAGAAATTCTCCATGCAAACACTCCAAATGTACTGGAGAACAGACATTCATGTTGACGGCGTAATCCTTCAAATCTGAAATCAATACATGCTTTGCTTTCTACAGAAGGAAAAAAAGTGTGCAAATGTACAGTAATAGTACTTGATTCATGTAATTAGAATAATATTATAATTAAACACTCTATAACATGATTTCTGCTTGTAGAATCTGATCTAATTTCTCTGAGAAATGCTCTTTTCCTATTATTGGGCTGTACAACAGACCCTCAGTATTTCAGGTCCATGAAGATCAAAAGAAAGGTTTGAAAGAGCAACAGGCAACAATATCATTCTTTCACAGTTCAAATAACAGTGCAGGAAAATGGAAAGGACACTAGTTGATCTCTCAGGAATAAGGTACAATAGGAGGGATTAATTACTTAAACAAATGCTGTATTCGTCACTCTCTCCCCTAATCTGCATGGATGCAGCTCTAAAACCCACAGTGATAAGCAGTTTCATTAGTCTTTGTTAACATTGTTTGTGTACCTGAGTTGAGGGTAGCAGACTCTGAACTAAAAAGTCATTATTCAATCATATTATTACCATATGGCTGAAACACACAACACATTTCTGAAACATGTAAACCTCATTACAAACAGGATGCTCTGGGACTATGGTTTGGGTTTTTTTTAATTAGATACACAAAAGCCAAATGATCAGTGATTAACCAACAGTAGTACCTGAATTTGACTGACAAAAATTGAAATTAAATCTGATTAAAAGAAACCCAAACAAACTTGTAAAAGTATTTTTTTTTTCCAAAAAGAAGATAAATTTAACCAAAAAGAGAAATGAAAAAGCTTTGCTGTAAAGTTTGGGGGGTTTTTTTGTCTTTTGGTTTTTTTGTTTTGTTTTGTTTTTTGGTGGTTTGTTTTTGGTTTTGGTTTTGGTTTTTTTTTTAAATGAGAGTAAATTAATTCTGGCTAAAGCAGAAAGGGGGAAAAAAAAACAGAAACATTTTTCCAAAGAGCCCTGAAGTCTTCTAGAGGAAGGCGACATATGATGCAGTTTCCACTCTGTTATCTCTATTTAAGGCTGTGCTCTGCAGTCTGGGTTAGCCACTAAAGAGACACAGCAATTCAGTCCATCCCTAAGCACACACTTAACTTCTAATGTAAAAACGTAGCTTCAATTATTTCAATGAGAATGCTTCTGTAGACAGTGTCATGCAGGAATGTGTGCAGAACTGTAGCCTTTACCTGGTGATGTGTTTGAACAGCTTCACAATGATGTCTGTTTTCCACATCAGAAATAAACTGCTATTATTCCCTCACAAGGAATGGAAGTGTCAGAATGTTAAAGAAATAATTGAAGTTAGGATTATATTATTTAAATACTTTGCTATAATAATAATAATAATTTATTGTCCTTTTTATTGAAATATAATTTGCCTGACTTGCAGTAATTCTTTTGGATGAAATAGTTCTTCCTTCCTCTTTTTCAGATACTATATTTCTATCTGGTTTTTAACAATATACTTACTCAGGTCTGTTCTATACTACTGTGTTGGCTTTAAATCTTACTGGCTTTTTCAGATACACTTCATACAGGTATATCAAATTATACAGTATTTTTGAATTATTTGGTTTTGAACTGCTGAACAACAGCATTTTAAATGCATTGACACTTGTTACAAAATTCAGCCACAAGTTACCTAAAATGTTGTGCTCTTATTTAAATAAAATAAACTCCAAAATGTCTATAATATTACCCAGTTTTACTCAGCAGTAGATATTTATCATTTGAAGAAAATATTACATTGAAACATTTAACTGTTGTTACATTAGTCAGGGTTTTTTTACACTTTTTTTATTCTATCTATTTATTTGTATGACAACATGAAGACTTATAATCTCTTCCTGTAGTATTCATTTCTACTATAGGGAAAGCACTGAGCTCTTTAAAGACTTCCAGCACAGCAAACTACTCCCTTATTTTTTTTCTTTTTCATTAATTCATTATTTGTTAAACAGCCCATCAGTAGTATTAAGTAAGGTATCAGTACCTGACTACTTATGTCCTCAGTATGGTTATGGTCATTGTCTAATTTGTTATTAAAATGTTTGTTAGGATTGGTTTTTTGCAAAAAAATATGTTATAATATAAAAAAATGCAACAGGAAATCCATGGGGAGTAAAAGACTTAGAAAGTGCCAGCACTTTTGTGGTTGAAAACAATTCCATTGCAGCAGACCATGGAGATCAGAATATAGCTACACTTTACCATAAACCTGCATCCTTTTTAAGCATTAGAATTACACTGCCTATTTTAAAAAACTACTAATATGTAAAAATGTGGGAACAGCTGTGAAGTTTCAGCTTTTTTATACATTGCATATAGGAATTTTGAAATTTTACTACTACTGTAGAAGATTCCAATATGAGCTAATGAGCTATCAAACTGCCCAGTAGTTACAACTAGCCCCATCCCATGGCAATTTTTTTCTTTTAAATGTGGATTGCTGAGAAAATTGTAACCCAGTGGACATTTGCCAAAAAAAAAAAAAAAAAAAGGCTTTGCTGTTTAATAACAAATATAATTTTTGTCTCATTTAACAAATGGCATATGTAATTTTCTGAAAGGGATATGGTACTAATTAAACATGGTATTAGTCCCAAAGACAGTCAACAGTCAGTATAGCCATGAGGTATCCAAGGAATGTTTCCCCTAAGTATATATTATCTGTGTATTGATTTGATGGTCTGATTGGATAAAAGCCTTGGTAGCAAACAATGTTTAAGGATTTGGGAACTGCTCTTCTATTCTTATCCATATGAATGCTGCAGTTGCCAAGGAAAACTGAGATAGTTAATAAGCAAGCAAATTAGGAACTAATCAGGATCAGTTTATTTTCATTCATTCATTGACCACTTATTTTGGTGTCTATTTTCAATCTTTGCTTTTACATTTAGATCACTGTGCTGCAATTCTTATACCAGAAACCACAAATTTAACAGTCCTATTTTTTTAATAAAAAAGAATACACTAGATTTCATGTATTTTAATGACTAACAAGCTACTAAGAAACACCTAAAAGTAAATTGTTTGATTTACTTTGAAAATTCTTGTATATACAGTGTGTATAAACATACTTTCATATACCCATCATCAATAGCACTAATTAAATATTTGTTCTACTATCTCAGGTATGGGTAAATTACTAACTGTAAATGTTAGTCCACCTCTATATAACTTTAATTCTGTTTTCAATTCAAAGATATCAGCTTCCTCTAGCATATAGTAGGTAAACTACTGAAAGGATTAAGAAATTGAATGCTGTGTTTCTTCTGATTCATAATGATCACTTCAGGTAAAACTAACAGCATCAGTGTATTCCCACAGCTCTCATTTGGCTTATACTATCCTAAGCAAAATAAAAAGTAAAATGGTTGAGTTGCTTGAGCTAATGTGAAAATGGTAAATGACCTTCTGTTAACCAGAGTATTTCTGTGCAAAAGAACATCAGAGTCTCAAGACCACTATGTCTAGCTTCAGTTGGTTATTTTTATTGAGACACTTCTTGAAGAGTAACAGAGCAGCAGTTTGAGTCTTGAAAAGTAGAACTGACTCCTTTGTAGTCCCAGTAAATTTCAGAGTAGTAAAAAAGGCATACAATTTCAATAGTGCTCTGAATTGGCCAACTTACTCAATCTACCACCACCTGCTAAATCTATTATCACCATTAACACAAAGAAATGGAAACTGCTTCCTAGTCCCCCAACAGCTAAATATGCACTCTGCTTTTGATAATAAGACTTGAGAAAAAGCAGTGAGAGTTAAGTAACAAGGGTGTCACTCAGTTTTAAAGCATCCCAAAATAAAGCCACCTGTGACTCTTACACCTAAAATAAGAGGACACTAAAAATAGACCTGCAATATTAATAGCCTGCTGCAAAACAGTTTAACACTTAAGATACAAAAGCCTCTTGGCAAATGAAACATGGCAACTGAAGAATGAATTCTGGACAATAATATCATTTTTGCACTTTCTGCACACTACGCTGAAAACTGTAACCAAACTCTTACCTAACTACAAAAAACATTGCACATACACTTATCTTGAAGGCTCTACATTAACAGGTGGTTTTAAAAATATTTTCAAAGCATATGGAAACATTAAGTTTACCCTGTAAACTTAAGATCCTCTGCTCTTGATATGCTGTATCAATGAACTGAAAAGAGCAATAACATTTAAAGTAGCTGAATGCTCATTACGTAAAACAAGCTGCATTTTCCTTCTCTACCCACATTATTTCTAATTGTGAAACAGAATAAGAATTGTGCTTTCTACCTTACAGGTCTAAGATTTCAAATATCATTTCATTTTAAAAAAACACTTGCCTTTAGAGGATTTTACAACTGAAAAATTCATGCATGATTAACAGCTCTCCTCACATCAGGGAGTCTTTCTTTCCTCCTGTATATTGCACCAGACATATTGAAAGCCTACGTATCCAAGATATATACAGTATGCTTGATAACACTGAAAACATAAATTAAATTAGAAGAGGGCTAAAAAATCCAGATCAAATCAGCTTTTAGTTTAGGAAGAAGGTTTTTATACAGCTGTAGAATATTATTTGCAGGATTGCTTTAATGTAACAAATGAACTCAGCTTCCCAAACCTTCCTTTCTTCATTTACATTTAATGTATTATGCAACCACAAAAAAAATACAAATAGAGATCCTTTCAGCCTGACTATCCTGTCAGCAAAACCAGCAGAGAATTTTTCATTGATAAAAACAGAGAATGGAAGAAAACAGACCAACCTTCACAATGTACGTCACACCAGGTCCCAGGATCTTCTCACTCGAGTGCAGCCATCCTCGAGAGGATTTATTGACAAAACTGCTAGTTTGATTCCAATCTTCACTTCCCAGGTGCATTTCCTCTAACCGTGCTTTTTTCCCCATACTCATCTTGCTCATGTCCTGCTGAGAACACGAAGTGGCAGAGACAAGGTTACATGTGTTGTCTGAAGCCCCTGCTGCTGAACTAGAAGCACTCGAGCTTCCCTGCAATTTGGAGACAGCAAGCTCCTTTACTGCAGAGGAGAGGTTTTTGATACCCAAAAGGCTGCCCGTGCTAGAGAGTTTCAAGTGGGACACTTTATGGATGAGGGTACACAGGGTGGTGGGTCCATCTTCTTGGTCCTTGCGGAGAACCTCTGGTGAGACCAGGTACGAAGGTGATGCTGAAGTTGTAGCAACTGCTGAGACTTTGCTGTTCATGGGCAAATTGTGAATAAGATCGTCAACAGATGTCACAGAATCATTCCTGAAGCGGTTATACTTGGTACGTTGAAGCATGCCCTTCTATCTGCTTTCCTGCATATGTTCTGGCAAATCTGATGCCAGTGCAGGAGATGCCTGTACTAACATAGCAAGCAATTCATAACGGCACGGAGGGTTAACAAGAGTTTAGGGTAAAAAAGAAAAGAGCATAAGGAAAAATGAAAAAAGATATATTTTTAAGAAATTTCTTTTGGTTCCTTGTTCAGGTTGGGTGAAGTAACAGTTTTCTGTGACTGAGATCCCAGTCCTGCTTAGAGCTGCCAACTCGCTCACAGCAAAAGCATGACTCACACAAATGAGAAGGACCCTTTTCAACAAAAGGCTGTGAACACTGCAAATCACTTCCTGTAGCCAAAAAAAAAGGAGAGAGAAGGAAAAAAAAAACCCACATCCACCCACTTACAGCACACTAGCACCAATCAATTCTCAAATTCCCTTTTCCTATCTTCTCAAACAGATACTTCCTCCCAACCTTTAATTCCTATCCCCTCCCACTACACTTTTAGTACCAAAGGCAATTACCTTTATGAAACACCACACTTTATTCATCTGTTAAAATTTTCTTACACCTCACATATTTGTGAATCTATAAAGAAATCACAATTAGATAGCAAACATCTGGATGATATTTGCATACATATAATCCTCCTCTCCTGCCACTGCAGCAGAACACAGACACCTTAAAGGTTTTCAGAACAGATGAACAGAACTAAAGAATATATACATTTTTTTTCCACAAAAGCAGCCTAATAGTGCCTTTTTGTCAATGCTGTCCCTCACAGAAACTACTATATTCAAATTTTGACAGAGAAAGAAATCCTTCTTCCCTGTTATTTCACAAGAACATTCTATTTTAATGCAGGAATTACATAAGTACCTATGTGTGAGGAAAAGTATTTTTCTGATGTCCAAAAAACAGGCTTAATAGACGTTTTTTCTTTCACAATTGATATTCACTCCGAAGAAAGACATGAAGAGGGTCTTCAATTCACTGGAATGTTTGATTCTGTTCTGAGAACCTGAAAGAACCCTGAGAGAATATTAAAAAGTCCAGGTAGCAGCAAACTGACACCCTGCAGTGAGGAAAAAAAAAAAAAAAGCCTTTATTAAGAATAAATGTCAGTCACAAACACTTGATCTGGAGAAGTAGCAAAACATGCAGAAAACAGGTATTTAATTTCTCCTGCAATTTATTTAGAAGTCCAAATGTGTACAGCATTGTGATACACAATGCCCATCATAAGCCATATGGCTTTTTCCTATAAATCAATCTGCTTTGCAAAACATTTTTTTTGGATGTAGGACAACACACTGCATTATAAACAAATTCAGATCAGAGAAGTTGCATAGTACAATTTTTTAAAATAAATTACTAACTGCAGCACAAATTAAAGGAAAAAAAGCCTATGGAATTCCTTCCTCCTCCGAAGACTAAAGCCTGCAGTATACAAACTGCAAACACAGTGGAACAGCCGGCTTAAATACAGGTATTTAATTAGTATATTCATGACATACTGAATTAAGTCAGCACCTCTTATCCCAGCAGTGATGAATAATGGCAATATCCTAGTCAATGTAAAGCAGTTTTCTACTGATCTGCAGAAGAGCCTTTCATCACCACGCTGCAAACCTGCTATAGCATCCTCACAGCATTCATTCCTCTCGTCATCCTCCTAGCACAGCAACAGCAAATATACACACCACAGCCTATTTTTACGTGTCTCTACTGCCCAGAAAACCCTACAGCTCCCGAATGGCTCTCTTGGTTAGAAGCGGCCAGCAGGACTGCAAAATGTGAATGAGATGCTGCGCGAGTGAATGAAAGGGCTGGCTAGCATCCCCACATTTCTGTGAATGAAGCGAGGCCTCGCAGCCTCTGCCAGGCAATCCCTTGGGTGCTCACCAGCCCAGCCAATACCAGCCGGCTCCGATGACTCATTCAGCAAAGCTTTGCTAAATAGTGGAAGATCCCATTTCCAGCGCAGGCGGCACCTTTTTTTGCTGCAGCGCCAGAAAATGCAGCCGGCCTGTCAGCAGCCGGGAGGGAGTCGCGAAGCCCCTGCAGAAAACAGGGTGCTGCCAGAAAAATACCTGGGGTGTCCACAGGAGTACCGGGTTTGGAAAACAGTGTGGAGCCTGATCCTTGTTTCTCCCCGACTGTGTTCATTCAGCCAATTCATTTACATCCAGGATAGGAACATGAATGTGCACATTTTGTTTGATATTCGACTGCTCTCTGTGCACCCGCAGATTCACAGATTTTACAGGTTTGTCTTCAGAGACCTCTGACAAAAAAAAAAAAAGCAAAGAAAAAAACAAAAAAAAAAAACCAAACAAGCAAAGAAACCCCACAACAAACAAACAAACAAAACCCAAACAAAAAACCCACCCAATCAACAAACTCCCCCATAAAAATAATCACAAAAGCAATCCCAAAGCTCTCCTTGAAAAAAAAAATTGCATATACTTTATTTCTCCCTTATTTACCCTGTTCGCACAGTAGATACTTAAAGGCAGTACGATCGTCACTCCAGGGAATGGCAGACAAAGGGAGAGCTAAAGGATGAAATCTTCCCAGAGTACCAGCAAAAGGTCTGATTTGGAAACTTTCACTGCACAGAGAAATGCTTGCAAGGCATCCATTGGATGCAGAGCTCTACCGCAAATCTGACATTAGACACTGCAGAGGAGTAGAAGCCACTGAGTTACCCCGGGCCTGAAATCCAGTGCCTATTTTAGTGTCTGATCAGGAAACTGTCTCCCTTACAAATCCAGTCCTCGGGTAGAAGAACTGAACATTTCAAAACCTTGCCTTTTGTAGTTCCAGGGACTAGAAACAGTACATAATTTTGCGCTGCAGGCAGCAGGTTCAAATCCAACTCCAGGAAATAATGAATGAAATTAGGAGGCTGTGTAATAGGCATAAACTGCAATTTCAATTAGGATCTAGCTCATTCTAGCTATTGCCAGGGCATTGATAATGTCTTCTGCATTTCCAGCACTGTGTCTGTAGTTTGCACACTGACTTTACCATGCCTGCCTTAAACAAGCTTGCTGCTATTATCTTGCAAGACAGCAAGACATTCAGAGCACTGTTTTTTCTTACTTCTATTTAGCAACCTATGCTAAGTCAGCATTTTCACCAAGTTGAAAATGAGCCTTTTTCTTTTCTTCTTTCTTCTTTTTGCAGGCCTGTAACCCAGACACTACAACACGTTTAATAAATGGCCATGGAACAATTACTCCTTTGTCAACACAGTAATAAAATGGCAGGTGGAAATTCAACGTCAGTAAGTGAAAAATAATATGTAATCCTAAAAATACATACACAGTGAGAGGGTGTACACTGCCTCTGACAAAAATACAGTATTTCTTACAAACTACTGGTAAATTTGGCATCTTAGACCATTCTTTCTTTCTTGACTTTTTTTTATGTTGTTTTTTTCAGCTTTGTTTTCTTATGGATATTCTTCTTACCCTAATTCAGTTCTTGTTTCATGTCCTTTTCTTCCACCAAGCAGCTCTTAGGGGCTTATTCTTAGCTGCCACCTTTTTCCTTCTGTATCTAAACTACCTCTGCAGACTGTATTTTAGAAGCTACTAATTTTTATTAACCACAAAGAGTAAGAAAAGAAATTATGCTGGGGGTATGATTAAAGGGAGAAAGTACATTTTGCTGAGGTTTAAATGGTTTTAAATTGCTGCAAATGTAGGAGACATTGCCAATACACAAGCCAAACCAGGTAGGATGATGTGACCACCATAAAGAGGAAATACAGGGAATACAACCATGACGTTCCTCAACCTATAGTAAAAAACCCTCCAGAATGCAAAAATGTGACTTTCAGTGAACATATTCAGAGAAATGTTAATATATAATCAGAGTCGGCAAAAATACCTCGTTCCAGTAACACACTGTGGTCAAGTACAAACAACAAATAAATGCTAGAAACTGTTGAAATTCTGCTGAGATATTTGCATTTTCAGAGTTATTGCCTGGTAGCAGTAAAATTGCTTGCAGACTAAACTGAATTTAAGAAAAATGAGAAATACCTTAACTTTGGATCCAAAAAAACCCTCTAAATGGAATTTGGGTTAGCCAAGTTATAAAAAACACTGAATATGTCAGACCAACATAAATGTAGATGTTGCTAAGGGTTTTAATACTTTACAAATTGTAGCTATAGGGCATCATAATTAAAATTCCTCCTTATGACAAGTCCTAAACAATTACTGTTGGTGTGATGCAACATTAAGCCATCAACAAATAGGATGCTCTTCCTTACATTGTAATATGACAGACACAAGTGTTAATAATCTGCTTAATAAATATTCTTGGTGAATCCTTGATATTAACAAATGGTCAATTCCTTAAATAAAAATATAGCATTTCTATAATACAAAGATTTCTAATACCCTGTGGAAACATTTCTTCTTTTGATAATTAAGATGGAAAAATATCAGCATTCTTTGCACAACACAAGATAGACATATATCAGAAATCTCTTACTCATGTATTTATTAATCAGCCTCATCCAGCCTTCTTTATGTGAGACAACCTCAGATGATGTAGTTAACAGAAAAGCAAGATAACATCAGGATAAGCTAAAAGGCATTATGATCTGACCTCTTAAGATGTATGCAGCTATTTTAATTTTTAAAAAATTAATTTCTAAACAATTCTATATGTTCTGTTTGTACATACTTAACATATCATATTCTCTATTCCTCTGTTTCTCTGATCTACCTGGACACAGAGCTCAGTTACATCCTACTGAGATTTCAAGGGGGGGCTCATTCCATAGCTGCAAGAATTATTGAAAGGCACTGTACTTCTGTACTTCTGTCAGTGCCAGACTATATACTTCTACTTCAAAATATTTTTCAGGAATCAAAGCATAGACTGGGTTCACATCACTTAGGGTTTTTTTTCCCTAATGAGTGTTTGAGTTCAACCTCAGCTTACTGTCCTATGCAAAAAACCCTGAAGGCAGGTAGGTAAAGGGTGCCATTTTCCAGTAGCAGAAAAACCAATCAACCAACCCAAAATCAAGGCACACCCCCCTTTCCCCTAAAGAACCAAAGTGAAATTAAAATTATTCTAACAAATTTTAGTTAATTTATTAAAAAAAAAAAAATTCCAAAACTATAAATTGGCCCCATCTTCCTTTCATCCTCACCCCTTTTCTTTCACTGGATCAGAGTTTTGCTGTTTCCGTGGCAACATTATTGCTAAGGGTGGGCTGCACCAGGAAATGGGAGCATTATCTGTGGTTTTGCAAATTATCTCTCTGGAAAACCATACTGTTGAAAGCATTACTATTCAAGATCAGTGATTATTAATCATTAATTACCAACTTCCAACTCAAATTGCATCAGTGAAATATAAAATCATGCTCTCAAATGTGCCTACAAATTTTTGAGCAGATGCTTATATTTTGAACCAGAAACAGACCCTAAACAATGTTCAGGAGGCTGTTTTTTCTGTAAGTTGGAAATACTGAAGCAATTTGGTCTTATGACATGCTCACCCATTGAAATATGGCATGAAATATTTGGAAGAAAATGAAACTTGTAATACCTTCTGCTCCATTAGTAGTGCCTGAGATTACTGCTAAAAGTCAACACACTACAAAAGTTCACAGAAAAGACGGATCTGAGTTAATACCCAAATCTGAACATGACACTGAGCTTTTGTGAGGAAGGATCAGACAGTGAAGTGCATTAAAATCTACAAACTAATACCACATCAACTCTTACAAACCCCCCGATTTTTATTATTTTCTTCTTTCAGCCAGACACTGAAACTAGATCATTAGCAGCAGTGCAACACAACTGTTTATCTTTAAAAACAGACAATCTAAAGCTTTGCCATGTCTGTTGGACTGCCTGCACCCACCTCAAAACTTTGTATATAACAGGTCTTTTCAAGCCCAAATGATCCTGTGTTTCTGTGGTTTCTCCTCTTTCTCCCGGTCCCAAGCTTCCATTCTCTGCACCAGAAGTCTCTGGTGCCTCACACTAGAGAGGGAGTCTGCCCTAAGAAATATAGCCCAGTCACATTTTCTTTTGTGCCCACAAACAGTGGCCCGGTGTACAAAATGTACTGCATTGTGAATAATGCAATGAGGGGCCCATAAACTGGCTCCATTATTCATTCATACTGATGGAAATGATGCTTCTTCTGGGCATATAGGCATTAATGTCTGTGTCCTTCCAAGAGTTTCTGTTTTAAACAATCAGAAAAACCTGTGATTTGGAGAAGAAAGCAAATAGCAACCAAGTTCACTGACAAATTATGCAACTTTTTTTGCTGTCTTCTTCATATTGAAAGCCAGTCATTTACTTGTTTGTTAGCCTAGCATCTTTTTGGTTCTCATTCATCAAATGTATGTAATAATTCAATAGTTTTCTTTTCTACATTGTAATAAGGTATCTATTTTGTAGTTTTGATAGTTTTTTTAAGTGTTTTCTTTTTATTTTGTTCATATCTTTTTTTTCCTAGGAGTGGTTTGCAAAGTTGATTTTAAAAACCCCCCTGTATATGAAATCTGACGTCACAAATTTCCTATTGATTCCAAGAGGAGTCAAATTTCAATCTCCATTTCCAAATCCAAATGGAAATCTAGGAATTTTAATTGTGCCTTTTTGTACAATATTTCTTAGGTTGTTTGCCACTCATAAAGTATGTTTATTTTTATGAAAATGTAAATGGCTTTATTTATATTTGCTTTTGAAAACCATGAAGAAATTATTTATTACTTATACAGTATAGATATAAATATGTTCCTTAACACCATAAGAAAAGTTATGCTCTAGTATCCACTAAATTGTTAGGATAGTTAAATACTAGCAAGAAGAGCAGAAATTATATATGAAAAAAGGAATAGTGAA